CAGAAGCATCGGATCTAAAAGGCAGCAGACGCAGTAGAAGCATCAGAAGCATCAGATCTAAAGGTAACAGACGCATCAGAAACGTCAGATCTAAAGGCAGCAGACGCATCAGAAGCGTAGATCTAAAGGCAACAGATGCAGCAGAAGCGTCAGATCTAAAGCAGCAGACGCAGCAGAAGCATCAGATCTAAAGGCAGCAGATGCATCAGAAGCATCAGATCTAAAGGCAGCAGACGCATCAAAAGCATCAGATCTAAAGGCAGCAGACGCATCAGAAGCATCAGATCTAAATGCAGCATAACCAGCCGCAAGAGGGGGAGTGTCAACAGTAAAAGCAGCAACGGCATCTCCACAGCAGCACCAATGATAACAGCTTCTTGTTCCTACAGCCTCTTGTCAGGCAACCTCATATCAGAATCGCGTCGAAGTGCACTAAAACGCATCCAACCGCAGTTGAACTCACTGAAATGTATTAAACCACACGAAGCTGATACGAGGTGTGTCTGATACGACGTGTACGAACACGCCCTAACTACCTTAGCAGACATACAGTTGGGCACTAGACATATACATCCTATATTGCATGAGTAAGCGTGTTATTACACACAACACGTGCATGGACAAGTGTAAATATGTAGTACACATAGTATGTGCACGGTTACAGTCACACGATTGTTGATATCTGAAGAATGAACGGTTGTTACTAACCGGAGAAGATAAAAGGAACGATTCGGTCGTAGAATGTGCTTAAAAGGAGAGGATGTGCTGTAGTTTGTGTTGTTTACGATGCATATGACGTGCATCATACCTCTTAACACCTCCTCTCTCAGAGTGATTGCACAGTGTCCAAAACCAACAGTAGATTAGCACGGAGGAAGAAGGGGGAGAAGGAGGGGATGGGGAGCAGGAGAGGTGGAAGAAAGAGAAGATCTATAAGATATAGAAAGACCCAACAAGAAGAAAGAGAGAGGGAGAGGCAATGAGAGGGGTGAAGGGCAGTGTGAGAGGGGATGAGAGGAGAGGGATCTGGATCCCCTCCCGGATCCCTCCTTTTCCTTCCCTTCTCTTATCGCCTCTCTCATATTTTCTCTCACCTGCATGCCTGTAGCTTCCTGTGACGAATACAAAGGACCGTTTGAGAGGGAGAGGAAGACAGAGGATGATGTAAAAGCATCTCCATTTCTTTTCAATTACCGTTGTCAATAAGATCCAAGCACAGAGGCAAGTCCCTCTTAAACATCAAGACCTTCACTCGCTCCTCTTGGAGATTCTTCAAGTATTTTTTCAACACTTCCATCTTATCCTTTCTAATAGGAAAGAAAAATCACCGAGGCCTTTTATCAAGTAGTAGTGCATGGGAAAGCAAAATGTGGTGTTTCTATGAGTAGCACTAGATCTGATAAGCCCGTCAGTAGTCCCTGGTATTATCCATGCAAACCAACTTTCCTTGCTCAGCAGGCTTAGTATCCAGTGCTGTCTCAGTGAAAGAAGCAGAGGGATAGCATTTTTGGCTTGAGGGTTGGGGGTTGGTAACAAGCACCAACTGGTTCACAAACAAACTCCTACACTTTGGGAAAACCCTAGGGTTAGTGGGCTAGCTGTTCAACAACTTCGAGATTCTCGATGGATACGACACCAAGTCTGGACGAAAGAATAAGGGAGGATCAACTTCGCTCGTTTTCAGTTCTGGTACACTCTTTAGGCTGGTAACAAACGGTTCAAAGCGGTAAATCGAACCAGCCGTATTTTTTGTAGATTATTTGAAGGGCGCGTGTCGAGCGAAAATTGCCGAAGTTCGAACACCAAACGCCCTGCACCGTGGTTAAAAGTATTTCAACTGTATCCTAACCTTTTTAACCTCTCAATAAATTCGAACTTTGGCCAAAGTTCGACCTGGAGGACACTCGTAATCAACAGCCTTTCCCAAACTGGAAGTGACCCGCCCTGGCGCGAGAGTTCGCCAGGCCCAAACCTGATGCCAGGAATGAACCGAACCAGCCGTAGGGCTGCCTGTAACCTCGTCACCCATGATTTTTTTCGAGCAGGCCCTTGTCGCCACGCGAATATTCAATTGCACCAGTGGCTGGCAGCTTGTTGTGGTCGCAGTTTACATCAGTGATTCGGCATGTAAAAGTTGAGCCAATCGCGTTGGCTTGGATATGCTGTAAACGCCCAAACCGCCCTTCCCCGCAAGGCTTTAATATTCGCAGTCTACTCTCGCAGTGCGCCTCTGTTTCTGCGGATTAACAAACCTGTTCTTATAAACCGAACGATGCGTGGGGTCGGATATTTTAGATCGAAACAACTGGATCCAGTCATGCGGAGAGATCACTCGCACTGAGACTGTCGCAGAAATGCTCCAAAAGGAAGTACTTAACAATTACGCATTCTATACGTATTCCGAAGGATGTACACGGTAGTCAATACGCCTGTCGCCTTTTTTTAGAAAGGGTAAATTTCTAGGATTATGATACTCGACAAATCAAGTGGAATCATGGTTTGTCGCGTAGTCCAGGCAGGATCAAGGGAATCATGTGAAAGCAAGCTTGTGCGGCACAAGGAACCAGCGTCACGAAGGTAAACCAATGTCCGACGTCCTGGAGTGCCCTTGCTGACTTGGGCGCATCTTCTGGCTAATCCAACGAATATTCCCCGTTTCGGTAGATATTTTCGTTATTAAGGTCCACGTTAAGGGCCCACATACAGGCGGGCTGTTGTATGAGCTGGATCACAAGTTAAATGTTATTATTAATATCTGGGTCATCTCCAAACCAGGGCCAAATATATCCTGCCAGAAGCCTTTGTATTCTCCAATCCAAACACAGCGCAATGCATTGAGAAATGTTTGCACTACAGTAAGCAGTATTGTTCTTAGCCATTAACAAACGGCACAAGCATATATACCATAGGTGCATCTCAATAATGTCTTACGCACATAGAGATCATCGACGGGATCAGCAAAAGCATAGTGGCAATCCATTTCGTCCTCCTTTCTAGAAACCCTACACAACTCTCATCCCAAGCTAATTTTGCCCCGCCGCTCTGCTCTGCACCCAAAAACCCTCTGAATACTCCAGAAATTTCTTATAAAAAAAGGGGGGGAAGGAAAGCACAAGCCTGTTCCCTAAGACACAGCTCTCACATAAGCCTAGCTAGCAGATTAAGGGGAGGAAGGAGGGGTGACAGGCTTCTTGACCCCTCCCCGGTCAGCAAGTCCTTGGGAAACACGTTGTAAGGCTCGGGGTACAGCAGCTGGGTCTTGCCCTGCAGAGGGGGAGAAGAGGGAGGATGAGAACACGAAATTGCGGCAGATATTGCAGCCATGAAATATATATGGCTCATATGCTGCAGCAGCTGAATATTACCCAGGTGATGTGCAGATTGCAACGTGTACACAGCCGCATGTAGCAGTTGAGCAGCGTGGGGCGGTGGTGCACTTTAGAGGCGCCTCAAAAGACTCCTGAGGCGCCTCAAAAGATTGCAGCGTGTTCACAACCGCATGTAGCAGTTGAGCAGTGCGGGGTGGTGGTGCACTTTAAAACCGGAGGTCCAAGACTCACAAAGTTAGGAAGGTTGGTTGGGCCAGGAAACGCTACTGGCTCACGAACCTGGTTGTGTATCAAAATCGGCGGACTGGGGTCGCGAAGGGAAAATCAATTCGCGAGTATAACCAGATCTAAAATGCAACATCAGAATTCGTTCGCAACTAGTTTCGGACGGGCTCTAAAATTGTTTACGATTTTTCGCTGCTTTCGTCAGAGCTCGAACAATAATTTCGCGTGACGAAATTTGTCCCCCGTTTTGCGAACTGAGTTGGTACCTACTGGGTCACACCTTCCCAAAGTTAGGAAGGTTGAGGCACTTTGGGTCTGTTTGGGACTCCGGTTTTAAGCCTACAACTGTCTTCTCTTCTGAAGATTAAATCCGGTACTCTCCACAATAATCTCTACCTCCATCATAATCACAAACTCCACGATAGTCACATAGAACCTCCAGGTAGCGGTTGAGCAGCATGGTCGTGCTGTAGTTAAAGCCCTCGATCGCCTAACCTCTACTGCGATAGAGTCACACCATTTGCAGTCACACCATTCACACCACCAACAACAAAACACTCACCTCCAGATAGCGGTTGAGCAGCATGGTGGTGCTGTAGTTAAAGCCCTCAATTGTCTGGCCCTTGGTGCGGCAGGCATTCATCTGAGTGCGCACTCGAGAGGCAAGCACCTGGTGAGACAATACAGAAGAGAGGAATGTGGGAGACATGGGCAGGGTAAGAGGGTATTTATTGTTTAGAACTCTATAAGAAAACTCTAACATAGCTGGAAATTGTTCAGTCGGCCCAA